AATATTTGTGCTCGGGTTGGATTTTTTGTTTTCTTCAGACAAATTTCGACTTTTTAACTAGCCATTTTTGACGGAATTTTTTTTATATCATTCGAAAGCTATTGTTGTCCTCCTGAGCTTATATTTCAAAAGATATTTCACCTGTGATCATTTTTCGTGAAGTTATGAGGGTTTAAAGGTTGCCATTTTGACCAATTTGGGACAATTAACGCGCGATATAATTCGCGCTATTAACGCGTAAGCGGAGATTTAATCCGTCTTAGAAATCGTTCCAAATTAGTTCGAAGAAGCTTATTTGCCATAATTGATTTGTTACAAGGATCAAAATTTATTCTTTTGTACTTTATATGGCGTGTGGGGGGATGATTTTCATAAAAAATTTCAAATTTTAGAATTTTTTTTTCCATTTTTATTACAATTTATTAAACATTAAAAGGCAGTCGGATCATTCAGGGCTTCACCCTGATACGAGCAGTCTTGTTTAGCTTTCTAATGTTTCATATGTGCAATCATTTGAAGTTATCCGTTGTCAAAAACAAGAACTGGTAGAAGGCGACAAATGGTAGTATTTTAGGAAAAGCGACTACTTGCATCAACCGACATTTATTACCAACAAAAACGGTTTAATATTCGGTATGAGTGCAAAAAAAATCAATGAAAGGCGCGTTATTAGCTGCTTTGATGAAGCAAGCCCAATTCCCTGAATTTAGGGCCAGCTTGCCTCACCGAAAACAAAAAAGAATTTTTAATTATTGCTCGCGCAAAAATTGTTCGAAAGGCTTCATAGTGGCCTTTTCAGAATCCACAACAATCTGCAATAGCACCAAAGACTGATTAATATCTGCCAATTGTCGGATTGCGTAAATATGTTGAGCCTTGCTTTTGTTTGGCAATTAAGAGAAGAATTGTAATATAAAAATCAGATCAGCAATCATCTTGATCAAAATTTCAAATGGTTCTGATATGTTAAAAAAAGTTTTTTGCAACAAAAAGAGAGCCTGGTTGTAGAAAACAGCATTCTCGAGTTTTAAATAATTTCACTCAAGATCAAAAATCGAAGCAAAAACGTGGCAAAAAACGATGCGACAAAAAAAATAACTGAATTCAAAACAATTGTACGCAAAAGCTTTCGCCGTTCGAAATGTTGAACTTTACCAGGTGTATGACATGTTTTGGGCCATAAAAGTTTACTCAATTCAGCTACTCACAATTTCTTGACGATGGGTTCATCAAATTTATGCGACAAGAAGTATTCACACAATACGAATTTTGCCGAAACATTTCTTCAAAAGGAAAACACTTTTTAATAGTTTCAATTTTTTCATTCTTGATAGCATTAAGTCAACGCAAAAGCCGCTGAGCGAAAACTTCTTAGCCTTTTATCTACACGACTTGCTTAAGTTTCAGTACTAATGCTGCAACTTCAAAAAAATATCGTTGAAAACTCACTTACGCATTTTAAAAGTCTGAACTTTTTTGTCAAACGCTTTCGTCTACATGGGAAGTTTTGAAACTGTCATTCAAAAACTTTTTTAAAACAAATACAAACTAATTTTGTTATTTTCGCATTTTAAAATTGTACGTTGCTATGATTCCCATAGTAGTCTGTTGGAGCAATTCGACGGGGGGGTGTAGACCCTAATGTTTTAAGGTAGGCTATAGACTATCTGGTCTAGGCTATAGACAGGCAAACTTGACATATTTGTCTAAAAAAACTTTTGTTTACGTCCACTACCTCGCTTTAATAAACAAGAATAAAATTAGTTAATATACTTCAGCGTCCTCACTCACCACGGAGGGTAAAATCTGTTGTTGCAAATTTGACATACTTGTCTGAGAAAAAATTTTGTTTATGTCCACTACCTTGCTTTAATAAACAATTATGAAAATTTGACTGCTAAAAAATCGAATGTTTTTTAAACCTTACCATCTGAAGCTTGCCATCAAGAAAACTATCACATCATTTTACATAGGATTTTAAACCTTCCCGTTTGGGATCTTAAACATTGCTGTATCGGGCGCTAAAAATTACCATCTTACCATCTGAAACCTTTAACCTATCTTAATGCATTGGGGAATCTATTCTTTATGTTAATACATAGGGTGTAGACCGCATAGTCTATAGCCTATCTTAATACATGAGAGTATATTACAGTTATATTAGTATTTTACAAGAGAGTATACACCCCCCCCCCCCCACCTCCCGGCTGAACTGCTCCAACATATACTACTCCCGCTCTACAAAATAGTTCCATACTAAACACGACTCGTGTTATACTATATACTATTCATACTATACATGACTCGAACTCTAACACTTAAAAGCTAATTGGCCTTGTTAACTCCATCCATGTGCGACTCAAAACTTAACACTTGAACGAGACCAGTTAAAGAGGGGAGCGGTGGTGAAGTGGTTACGTCTCCGCCTCTCAATCGAAAGGTCGGATGTTCGAGGCCCACCATGATCCGTGCTCGTTGCTTGAGGGTGAAGCAACATTACCCAGCCCAGCAAAATATCCAAAAAAATGGCATGTAGTTCTTAAACCGGGGTACAATAGCCATTCGCCGTGATGAGCTGTACAGCTCTTGTTTTGGTCCTTTCCCCCGTGGATAAATTGTCTTAATCTAGAAGAGCAGTTGGAACATTCAGGGCTTTGCCCTCATACGAGCAGTCCTGTTGTTTTATTTGTGCAACCTAAATAAAAATGATGTTTCGTTTCGCTGCAATCAAAAATCACATTACTGAAATAATGATACGTTGTCAAATTTCATGGTTTAGATTTGAGACAAAAAAATTGGACTGCCCTCTAGCAGCAAAGCCATGCGAAAGACAATTTCAGATATGACACTTCTGACAGCAGCTGAAAAAAGATCACTTTTTCCCCTGGGCTGCACAGGTTTTCAAGTTACTCAAAAACAATATTTACACGAAAGCGAAGAAAAAAAATAGCAACAAAAATGCAAGAAAGTAGCAATAAAAAGGCAACATTGCAAAAAAAATGTCTACAGAAAATCACATTCCAAAAGGAAACAAATACTGTGAAAAATTGGAGTCTATATAGGAATTTTTGTGAAAGTTTGCCTCTAATCAAATTGGAATGATCATTTGATCTCGTTGAAATTTGTCTCAAGTAGATCTCTTTGATTCAGAAAAATAAAACAAAAAATAATTTTTTTTTATATATGAATCAACAAAACTTTGCTCTAAAAGTAAATTCGATAGGAAAAAAGTGGGTTTGGCGTTGTAACATTACGCTCTCAAGCTCGATCGAGTAAATATTGGGCGAGCTCCGTGGCGACCTTAGCTTAGTAAGTCTGTCAGCACTTTCGAAATCTACTGAAAAGATATCCCGAGAAATTGGGAATCCCGAGAATGTTTTTCTTCAAACTCAGTCCACTTGTTTATTGATTTTACATCATGTTGCATTCGGCCTCCTCCTCAGCATATCCTGCATAGTGCTTTTAGTTACAATCCATGGTATTCCTACAGGCATGTATTTTGAATCATCATATTTTTAGAGGGGTTCAGCTGATGATTTTAAATTCAACACTTCAATATTTTTAAGCTTTGAATTCAAACAATTTAGTTCACGTTAAAAACTCTAGGAATAACAAACACATCGTATCTCCTCCTACATCGAAAATGAAGCAACATCAGAGCATCAAATCGATGCTCAGAAGAAAACAGCTCTGTCTATCACCAAAAATGCTCATCAGCTCATTCTGCTTATTTGTCAGGTTCTCATGAGGTATCTTTGCCAGCTGAAAGGTCTCAAGGAACTGGAGATATTCGCCAGTAACCTCTGCGAGGATGAGGATGAGCTGTTTCATGTATCACACGAGGCACTTGAGAAACTGGATAAGATCAGAGTGTACATGTTCACTATGGACCCACAAGCCATACACTCACTCAGCTCAATAGTCATGACTAAAGTGAGACCCCATCTTCTCGGTGGTTTAAAATATGCAGTCTTTAGTCATTTATTTGTTAAATCAAGTCACTTCAGATTAATGCTCACACGAGTTCGATAACACTTAACAATATGCTAGACTGACTTCCAATATATGTCAAAATTTGGCACGCCGAGAGAAATTGAAAACAGCAACCTCGGAAAATATGTTTTGATTTTAACTTTTTCTTCCAGACAACATGGTTTACTTTTCTCAAGGTGGACAAGCTGAAGGACATCACAGTATGGTGTGAGGATGAGATCCCAGTTGACAGGGCAGAGTTAGTGCTCCTCTTCATGAGTTTCATAGCATCCTGTCAGCCTAATCTGAAGAAACTCTGTCTCGGTCTGCCCCTCAAGAACAAAGACATAGTGCACCCAGTGAAGTCTATTCTGGACTGCTGCGGACGTCTAGAGTCTTTCATCTTTAAGGCAAGCACGCCACCTTTATCTTTGATTAGTAAAATTAACTTTGCAGTCAATAACTTGATATGAATTCTCTATATTCTAGAGTCAATGAATACACTTATATAGGTCGTGTGGACTTTTGAGTTTTACAGTGAAAATACTATTAAGTTGTCACACAATTAATTTCCTATGCGGTCGGTAAATTACGCTTTCTATTACCAAAATATCAAAAGGCGCAAAAAAAACCCAAATGGCTTGTTTCATAAATGTATGTTTAATTTCAAAAGTCCATGGGGAGGGAAAATGAAATGAGCGATATATACAGCCGGAGAAAACTATCGTAAATATAAAAGTTTTAGGACAAAACCTATATTTTGCTTTAGGTGCACAGAGAAGAAGATATAGCTCCACTCGAAGATCTCAAGGCCAAACACAAACACTTTATGCCCATTAGAATTGACAGCTCACACTTGCAAAGTGTGGACCAATCAGTAAGAGGCTGGTATGAAGTGAAATGCGTGATGACCAAAGAGAAAGATGAGTCCAAGGAAAAGGAATCCAAGAGACATAGCAGCAAAAAAGACCTTCACAGTAAGAGCAGCAGCAAAAAAGAACTCCATAGTAAAAGTAGCAAAAAAGATGTCACAGGCAAAAAGTAAATTTCAATCAAGCGAAGGAGGGCAAAGCAAACATACGAAATACATTCAAAAATTCATCTTTTTCAAGTATTCAATTTTAACTGTACATAATTTATTAATTTGGGAAAGGCTTGAATTTAAGTTATTTTTCAACAGTTCTGCGTCAACCTCAGCCGGCCATTCAGTCTCGTTTATTCTATTTTTCACTTTCTCCGTACAAATGATAATTTTCTCCAATAAAAGTTTGGGACTGGTAGAAATACTCTCGTCCACACCATTATCTTTCGCGCGCCTTCTCTGCTTTTCTGACTGGATACTGATGGTCAAACAGAAAACAGCCAGCGCTTCCGCAACCATTTTAAGTTCCATCAAATTATCCACATTTATCTGATGATTTGCAAGTATAAAAGAGTCCGTGGCCATTCTTTCGACGGAGCTTATGATCGATTTTGATATTACTGCAAACTTCGGAGTTTGTGATCTGCTATCGGCATCTCCGTTGGTCATATTAGTATTATTAATGTCATCTACAGAATCCAAAAGCTCGCCGTAGAAATTTTTCAAGTCCAATTTGACAAACAGATGCAGTGGGCACGTGAAAGGACTAAAAGGGTGACCTTGCATCTTCTTGTAAAATTCGTGATCTCTCAGTTTACCCCAAATCGCAATACTATCTGAAGCTGCAAGTTTAAAATCTGAGGTTAGCTTTGAAATTGAGAGAGAACTACATTTAGGAGTCGATTTCTGCTTGTTATTGTATGAGCACATAAGCAGTGATATTGTGGACACCAATGTATATCGAACTTTCAACCAAGCTAGTTCCAGATCGTAAGATAGTTTCTTGATTTGCTCACTTGCCCAGTCGATCTCGGCCGGTTCCCAGCTGTAGTTAAGGTCGAAGTCTCTATCGTCTTCCCAGGCATCCCACTCGCTTAGTACTTGTGTGTAGTCTCCGAGGAATTCGCTTGATTCTTCTCGCCTACTTTCTAGGGTCTTAGCTGAGTCTAAAAAAATCAAACTGGTTAACGAATAGCAGTACTTCATAATATCGCAAACCCAGTTTTTTGAAAGTGATACAAAACCCCTAAAGTTAAGCTCGCCAGGAAAACACTATTGAAAGCTTAAAAACGCACGTACAGACACTTATATTCTATTTATAACTTGAATAAATTCATAAATCCTATCGCAATTGATCGTATTGCTAATCATCTATAAAATACAAGAAAAAAATTTCAAGCAAAGTTTTCAACAGACTTGAAAAACATTTTGGTAATTTTGCCCACAGATCGAGCCGCGGCTGAAAATGCTTTGGACATATTTCTTTCGATTTAGCGTAAGAAAAACGATACAATCGCAAGATCTACCGCACTCAGTGAGTAGTTCCAACACATCGTGCATTTTTTTGAATCGATGATTGTCACCTATTTCTATTATATCCAGCATCATATCTTCCACGATACACTTGATGAAGGCGAACGACTTCAGGAGACTCTGTTTCCACTGCAGCATGTCCACCACTTTCCTGTATACTCCATTCCTATACCCCTGGATCAGATACTCCGGCACCTGGCGCACACTACTCTGGATATACCTAATCAATGCAGGGTGCATCAGTCTTGCTTCTTCATGGGCGCCGCAGCCAGCGAGTCGGTTACTCACAACCCAGCATGTGGTTTGCAGCAGGAACTGTTTGATTTGCATGCGGTCCATCAGCTCAGCACTCACTTGCATGAGACCCATCTGCTGGTAGATTCTCAACATCACCATCAGTAGTTGAGAATCAACAGGAGAGTCCAAGAGTGCCTCTTTCAGTCGATCTACAGCTGTCCATAAGTACTTTTGCTCCCGTGACTCGCTCAACATGTAGGCGTCTATCAAGTAGTGTGATGCCAGAATCATAAACTTGGAGCTGTATTGCGGCTCTGTTGACTGAAGTTCTTGGCCTGAACAGAGACTCCATTATTGAATTCTCAGTATTTTCATACACAATCACAATATTATAAACAAATGTCAAATGAAATGTGTAATAAATCGAGCGATTCTGAAATAAAACTAAAATTAAATAAAATTTGGGAATGCAAAAATTATCAACGAAATTCAAGTCCAATTAAAAGCACAGTTTCAAATATCTATGTTCTAATTCATAGAAAATTAACTAACCTAGTGGAAGGTACTTCCTATAGAGTTTTGTCAGTGTCTCACTCCTTGAAACACACTGTTCTTCAGTCAAACTACCCCTCTCCCTCGCCAGCTTTCTCTCCACTTCACACACCGACATCAAACTATACATATCCCCCAAACTGAGTGGAACCTCGTCTCCTTTCCCACTTTCTAGTTCTCTCATTTTCGATGCCACTTCTCCAACTAGGCAATCACATACGTCAGCTGAGAGACACTGTCGCACGTAGTTGAAGAAAGGCGATTTGTGACCGAAAGACTGGTAGAAAGAAACAACCAAACTGGACATACTCGGAAGTTGAGGCTCACCCGAGTAACTAAGCTCCTCTTCGTCCATCTTTTTTCTCAGATGAAGTAGTGCAAAATGGTGACCAATACACTTCACATTCTTTTCTCTCTCAGCTATCAAAAATTCAACCAAGGATCCTAAGTGGAACAATTCGACCTCCTCAGGATCCGATCCTTCTTCCTTCGTCTGTTTTTTTGTTTCAACATAAGCCTTCATTAACTTGTCGAAAAAGATCCAATCGGCTGAGGATTGCATGGAAGAAATAGCGTCTCGGCAAATCGGAATGAGCTCATCATACGATCCTAGTTCATCCATATATTCAACCTGTCGTCTCAGCCTCAACACTGGAAGTTCCTTGTCATACACAGAAACGTGTGTAGTGAAAACATTCAAGGCACTTGCATAGTCTTTCAATTCTTCCAGAATCATTAGAAGAAGGTCGACTTGTTCCAGTTTTGTAGCACCAATTTTCGAGGAGTCACTTAAACTCTTCTCCATCATTTTTCTAGCCAGCGGTAGTTGAACTTTGACTCCATTTTCTTTGTCTTTCTGTCCTTGTTGAAAAACTGCCATGACTGCCCAGAAGTAGAATGGTTTAGCAGTTATCGGTAAATGATACGTAGCGGATGCAGTCGATAGTTTATTCAACTGTAATGCTCTTAGTTGTTGCATCTTGAAGTTGTCCGTTCGCACGTGGGCCATCACAAGACATGTTAGCAGGTCCTCGTTCTTCGGGTTCTTCTCAACTGCCTTGGCGTAGAGGTCTTCGATATCTGCGTACTTGTGCATATCTCGCAGACATAATGAGAACACGCTTAGAGATCCATCATCTTCAGGACCTTCTTTGACTAAAACAAATAAAGCAACTATTAGCCCACGGTTTATCGAATTTACTTACTGAAGACATTAATATTCGAACAAACTAATATTCCGAGGACACAGCTCCCTGCTTCGTTTTGCGCATCCTTATTTAAATCGAAAAAATACGCTCGCTACATACTAAAGAGAACAAGGATAGCCAGTTGCTGTGCAAGTAGCACAGAATGTGCCGATCATAATTTTAAAAACTAAGTTTTTTAAAATTGATTTCTTTTTTTTGTGACGATTAAAAAAAGACAAAAACATCATAACTTTTTTCTCTTTTTTAATAAAAATTTCATTGAATTTTTTTATTCTCAAGATGGCGCTAAAATAACTTTGAAAACTTGTTTTAATAAATGTTTCATGGGGAAAAATCATGGCTTATTTACTACTAATCTGCAACTATCCTTCTATAATAAGCTTGCTCCCTCGCTGTACTCGCTCGAAATAGGACGAAAAAATCAAAAAATTCGAACCTTTTTTCTCAACACTGGGAAATAATAGGACATTTTTTACTGTCGTTTGAATCGCGACTGAAAGCGCTGTAATATGATATATCACGCAACCCAGTCCGATGACGATTTGTGGTTCCTGATTTTGCGTAGAAAATTTTTTTTAAAAACAAAAAAAAAAAACGAAAACACCCGAATACAAAGTTCCTCCCCATGTTCAATGGTCGGAACAAAAATGTTTTGTCACTAGTAGAGGGACCCTTTTTCTAAAAAAAAAAACAAGAAACTGCTGAGACAAATAGCCTGTAGCCCAGAAAATGCATAAAGGCATCTCATCAAGGTTCGCAAGTCGGAGCTTTCAATCATCGATATGCGGTCTTAATTAAAGAAATCTTAGGTCTACGAAAAAAAAAACATTTTTAGTTCATTGCTCAATTTACTCAATGCGTCGGCGTATTCAGTGGCTTCTTGCTGTCTTCCAGGCATACGCCACAGACACAGACACTTCAGAGCCTTCGCCTGGTGCGCTGCAGCCACACAACTTCCACTATTTCCACCTGCCCCTTTATTATTCTGCTGTGCATTAGTCGGTTTAGCGTTGGTGTTCTTTTTCAGGAACTTATCTAGTTGGCATATGGCTTGCTTGTAGTTTCCCTCGTCCACCAGATCAAAAATGGGCTTCAGTTTCCGCTCGTCCTTCACACTGACCGCCGGCTGCGGCACATCCTTGTCCCTCTCCCTTTTCCCGCCTCCACTGCTCATCAATTAAATATCTGAAAAACTGAAGACGGTTTTACTGATGCCGGTGGCTAAGGCGCAGCAATGATAGAAAATAACAGCCAGGGGTATTAATAAAGGCGAACTTCTTGAATCCTGGAAGTTGTCATAGCTCAAAATAATTAGGCTCGCAACGATCAAAATTATAACCTAGTATTTCATTTTACCTCGAACTGATAAAAAGTAGCGGGTAGGGTGTAAAATGGACACCCCATTTGATGTAGAGACGACGCCGAGCTTCGCGGTAACTCCGACACACCTTACACAAAGCATTACAAGCTAGCAAATAGAAAAAGACGGATGCCACTAAGTAGCAACAATTATTTGAGGTCCGTTGAGACAAAATTGCCCCAAACATCTTTGTTATAAAAAAGTTTAAAGACCCCAAATTGCTGCGCCCAAGGAGGAAACACGAAAACGTATAAAACAAACTTTGTGCTCTTTAAAACGACATATCATGAGGCAACTAGGTCGATATAACATATGAAGAAATTATACCAAACTTATAGCTCAATAACCTGCATCCAAAGGCAGATCTAAATATTTCTCGAAGGAGGGGGGTTCAAAAACTTCTTTTTAGGTCGACCAAATTGATTTATTCAGCTCTCCCAAATCACTTTAAAAACACAATTTGGACTAAATTTTCTGCGCCGCAAGAAATTTTTTAAATAAACAGGCCAAAAAGCACTTTTATGCACTCTTTAGTTTTTACCAAAAACATTGCATTTTTTTCGGCGCGCACTCCCCTTCAAAAATAGTATCTATTGGCACCTAAGGCACCTTGAAAAAAAATAAGTATCGGTCAGCCAAAATTGAATATCCTAAAATAGTACCTTTGGGTCGGCAGTGGGTCCAATCCTTGAGGTGGGTAGGGGGTGGTGATAGATATTTTGGCGTTTGCTACCCCGCCCCTCGAAATTCGCCCCTACCTGCGTCTATACAAACGCTAGACAGTAAAAACAACGAAAAGCAAAGTTCATGATTTGGAAAGTAAGCCGACAAAATAAGCAGACCGACAGTTCAAAAAAGGTAGCCAGACAATTCATATTTTCCCAGAAAAAATTTCAAATTAGAGATATCAGCAAGGATAGCCGCTTACTGTGCAAGTAGCACCGAATGTTCCGATCATAGTCTTATTAAAATACAAAAAAAATATATATATATTTTTTCAAATTAGTGTAGTTTTTTTCTGCGTGGTGTGATTAAAAAAATCTGCCCAAAAAAAAACAAAACGTGGGCACATTTGACAGTCAAAGTTAATTAGGCCAAATGGAAAAGAGTTTTCTAGAAAATGACAGGAAAAACGAAAAAAAAAACCGCTTGCAAAACCTTTTTTTCAACAATTTTTCCAGAATATTGTTGAAATTTGAAGTTTTTGATTTCCAAATTGGAGTGTAAAAACTCCAAAAACTAAATCTATTTAAGTAAACAAAGTTTTCACGGCTTAAACTAAGCATAAACAACCTATTGTAAGTCTGCACGCTCACCTTATTAGCTTGAGATAAGACCAAAAATCAAAAACTTCAAACTGGTTTTTCTCGACAGTCAAAACTTTTTAATGTCGTTCGAATCACGAATGAAATAGCTTTAATATGAAATATCACTCGGCTCATTTCGATAATTTGCGTCACCTGATTTTTCGTGGAAAAAAAACTAAAATACACCCGAATTTAAAGTTCCTCCGCCTTTTTCAAATCATCGGAACAAAAACAAGGTCCAGCCGGGATTCGAACCGCAGGCCATTGGCACGCACTTTACCACTAGACCAAATAAGACGTCGAAGCTGTTGAGGTCTCATAATACAGCATGGCCAATTTCTTACAGATTTGTAAGAAAAATTGTTATCAAGAAAACGTTTAGCTCCCAATTACAAGTCATTTGCTCTCACAAGTAAAAAGAACTTGCAAACAACTGAAATTAAATAATCAAAAGTTTCTACAACTAGCAAAACTTTGACAACAGATTTTTTTTTACACCTTATCAACCTAAATTTGTTCCACTTAAAAAATTCGAGGAATCTTTTGAGAAAATTGAAAACCCGAGGTTCATCCTATAAACTTGCGCAACACTTATAATCAAGGCCACTCCAAACTCAAGACAAACACCGCAAACAATTTGTTTTCATCAAGATTCACTAAAACAAAAAATTCTCAGAAAACACTATCTTTATTTATTTGTTGAAGTTTTTGACTTCTTGCGGGTCTGCTTTCCCTTGCTCTTCACTTTTGACTTACGCAGCTTTTGTTTTAACTTCGGAGACAGTTCTGTTTGAGACTGCGTAGTGGTACTACTTGGTTCAGTAGTCAACTCTTGAATCAAAGATTGACTGACTGGCGCTGTTTTCGGACATTTATTGATAGTTTCATTAATACCCTCGTCGCTATCTGAACTTTGGGAGCTGTCTGGAACCAAAGAAATTTTCTAAACAAAAACAATACTGAATTAAATCATCTGTTGAATCGAAATCTAATGCTGCAATAATTCTACAATAAAAAAATCTGGATGAACTTCACTTATTCGAGTAAAAAAATTGACTCACAGCAGCCCCGAAGTAGAAGCCACGGCAAACATTATACAGATATTTTACTCGTTTAAGTCTATCTGTAAATATTGAAGAAGTTCTAGATTTAAGTCTTCAATTGATGGTTCACGAGAAATAAAATTACCATTTCAACGAAGTCCTTCGACTTTCGTCCTTCTGGCGCTTCTGTTGTCTCCTTTTCCACTTCTTCGTCTTCACTCGATTCATCTTCGCTTGGCAAATCCAAATCCAACTCAACTGCTCTATCAGCATCTGTGGATTTGTTGTCAGCTGGCGCCGCATGCAGACGATCATTTGCTTCCTTCAGTAAAGGCAGGAAATTCTTTACTCGATCTAACACTGAAGAAAAGAAATTCACTGATAACATTTTTTTTTCAAATATTCCGAAATAAAATGAAAGCGTTGTGCTAATATTAGAAAAATTTATTTTATGCTGCCTTATTTTTTTTGTATCCTTCAAATTTAACAAGATTATTCTTAGCTGACTGGCATTTAAACTTCTGAAGTCACTTTTGAGGCTAATTTATGCAGCATTGAATGTGAAGTTTGCGCCGGAAAAATCCAACTTTTATGACAAAACATATAAATAATATACAATTGGCGTTGTGCTTATAATTTTGTCGAGAAACTGTCTTTTGAGCATTTCACTGGACGCTTGAAACGCAATTTGGTTGACATAAAACAATCAACTAAAAAATTTTACATTTGTAAGCAGGAACTACTTGCTAACTTGCGTTATTGCGAAAACTATTAATTTCTTCTGGAACTGGAGCTTTTGGAGCACAGATATTCAAGCACTGCGGATAATCCATTGTTATCCAAAAAAACCTGAAAAATCCATCAATACAATTGACAAATTCTACACAAACACATCGTTAACATATCAGAGGAACGAATGTATCAACCAGCTGTTCTTCTATTAATCCGACCACCGAGAGTGATTAACTTTCTTTTTTGTGTTTGTTTCAGTTTATTGTAACTTTTACCACGAGAAACGAGGTACCACAAATAGTCATCAGAATGGGTCACACGCAGAGGTAAAAGAGCGATAGCAACTATTGTTTTCAGAACTGATTAGCGTTAGTTTGCGGTAAAAACGAAGATACACGTTGTCGAAAAAACCGCTTATCCACTAACGATTTGAAGAAAAAAAAAATGTTTGCCTTTTTGCGTTCGTCCGTGTTTTTTTTAGTCAAATTTGACAAAAATTAGTTGAAAAACTCACAAAATTATAGCATTTCAATTACTTCGAATGCGACTACCCTGAGGGGTCAGATCTCACTCCCAAAATTCAATTTTTCTTTTGGGAGGTCCGGTTCATGACCGTATTTAGCGGTAGGGTAGCGAGGTTCATATTAGCAGAAAGAGATTTGGCGGTTTTTTCATGAGCCTCTGGTCGAGTAATATATCGAATTAAAGCCATTTCACTCTTGATTCGATCGACGCTCAAAATGTCTTAAAAGTTCTGGGTCAAGACAAACCGGTTTGCAAATTTTACTTTTTAGACGAATTAGAATAGAGAAAAGCCTGTGAGTAGCTATTTAAATATGAAAAGCTTTTAAATCATCAATGAACAATAAAATTCACAGCTGTGGAAAATTAAGTTCTGAAGCTTCAGATTCAGTTTCTCTGGCGCCAGTTTTTATTCTGTTATTTATTTTTTTTACGATAGCTGCAGCCATTCTCATTTGTTTCAAGCTTTTTTTGGTTCCTCTTACCCACAATGCGTATAAAGAACCACTGTTCTACTTACACAGCCAGCATCCAGCTACTCTAGTTAAACCTGGACTTCATAAGATTCATTCACAGAATTGATTGGTAGGAAAAATAAAAAGTAAAAACATTTTCCTTGTTTTACTAAGAATTGGCTAGGAAAAATAGGATAGTTTACAATTAAGAGCAAAGCTGAAAAAAGCTCGATAGGATGCTATTGGGCCATTTGCCGCAGTGGCATTCAAAATTATAGAAACAAGTCAATTAGTAAAAATTGGAAAACAAAAATGAGCAAGGAAAAGTAAGGTAAAAAACCAAAAATCAGCGGGGCCAACAGCATCAATGAGGTCAATAAATCCAAGAAAAAGTGAAAAAGATTTTTATAGTTTCGTATTGTGACAGAACACTCAGATAGTAATTACTAATACTTTAAACCATAAACTTGGAAATGCGTCCCCGAAATATTTAAATTGAATCTTTGAAGCACAGAAGTAGGAAAACCAGCTCTAAATTGATCTTTCAATTTTGAAAAAAAAGCTAACTCTGAATACCAATTTTCAACAAGTTTGATCAGACCAAGATAAGGGAAAATATACTATTATAGATTCAGAACAAATCTTTTGAAAATAGATCGAAAGTAAGGCGACATAATTTGCTCGAATATCCTAAGGCCAAAAAAATTCGGCAAGATTTGTTGAAACTTTGGTTTTTGCAAATGCTCCCAATATCATTGAATAAGTCAAAAACCTATTAGAACAGTACCTATTAGAACAGTACTATGCTGATGATATGATGAAATTTCCGAAAACAAAACAGCCTGGCAACTATGCCGACAGATATTTATTCCTAGCCCAAACAAATCAAATTAAAACAAGGATAGCCGGCTGCTGTGTAAGTAGCACAGAATGTTCCGACCATATTCATAAACAAAAAACAGAATATACTTTTGTCGTAATAAACACTCATTTTTAAACAAGTCGGTAGTTTTTATACGCTTTAAGCCTTGAAGCTTTAAACAACGCTTCTCAAGATTGAAATTTTCAAGTGTCATAGGAAGTAGCTACTACACTTACATATGTTGTGTTTTTTTTGTATTTTTTGCAGGAAAAAGTCTAAAAACACTGTTCACGCTAAAATTTAATATTTCGCGGCTTGAGTTTCGATTTCGTTTCGATTCTAATTCCTTTTCTAGTGAGGCAGGCAAATTACTCTCAAATTACGAAAGTGCAAATGACGCGAAAGACCTGAATCACATCTAGTTTCAAAAATGGAACAAACAATTATTCTGTTTTCAAAAATTGGATTAATTTGATCAAAATTAGCCCAAGTATAACAGATTTTGGAACGTGCTTTAAGGTGATATTTTACATTTTTTCTTCGAAACTCAAAAATTTGAAAAATAAAAAGCACGCCGAACTAGAGAATCTGGATCAATGGGCTATTTTCTATTCCACTGTGAAAACGATGAATATAATTCGCCTTGGGAAACAAACTTCATTCAGTTTTATCCCGCCATTTCAAGTTTTGCTATAGAAGGACGTTAACTTGCCTTAGTTTCAGCAAACGAATTGGAACTGAATCTATAAAATAAAACAATAGCCAACGGAGTTGGAAAACAGTAATGTAAGCAAGGAAACAAAAAACTAACTTGATTCCTAAAATGCATATATACCTAAGTGAATTCATAAATGCTTTAATATGTATGAATGCACATCTGTAGTTATTAGGGCATTTTGAGACATTTTCCTGAAATAAAAAAAAACATATTCAAAACCTATATAGAAATCTTAATTATGTTCATTACTCTTAAATAAAAGTCACAACCGAAAAAACTTCAACGTAAACTATTTTTCAAAGAAAAAAAGAAAACTACCTAAATAAGTGTCTTCACTTCGTTTACAGGCGCTTTTTATCCATCGGACCAAAACAAATGAAGTAAAATTTGAACTGAAAATTTTATATTTCAGTCTTTTCAAAGATTGGCGATTAGCGCTCGTCGATTGATTGGCGTGAACAAGCCCAACCAAGAAAACTTCACGTTAATTTTTTTCAGAACTGGTATTATTTTTTTGTTGTATCGAATGCAACAAGAGTGCACTAAATCTACGCTAGCCTTGCTCTCAAAAAATTAATCAGACCCTGAACATCCAAGTGAAAACTATATCAAACGATATCTGTCAAAAATGAAACCTTCGTGCAACATTATTAATACAACTAAGCTAAAAGATATCACTCATGAAGTTGATTAAAAATTACAAAAACCTTTTTCATCAATGCACCTTTCAGATGCCAACTTTCTAGTCTCAACTGTCTGTTTAGATAAAAATCCGACATCAAAAAATATATTCCCAAGAACACAACAGCACCTCGAATCGAATGCAGCTAAAAAACTTATACTGCAGAAATATTCTTCACAGAAGAAAAAGAAAGTTCAGAGTATGCAGTCAAATCTTCGAATAATTTTTCAGAGAAATTTTTATAGCAAATCTCTATCACTTGAGATACATAACTCGCTCGCAAAAAAACCTGATAATTCACACGAAGACCAGAGTTTGATATAAACCAGTTGAATCTGCGCTATAATATATAAGTTCGGTATTTCTATTTTTTGCGTCTTCAAAATTTCGATTTTTTTTTTCATAAACGCATTCCTAAAAACTATACATGGCGAGTGATGTTTTCACTTGGCATAACAATTCAATTATCGTTTAAATTGTATAGCTTATGTTTCTAGCTCGATGTTTCCGGTCAATTTATATTCACTTGAGATTATTTATAAAGAAATACAGCACCAGTTGATTAAATTAAGCAATCATTTAAAACTAATTTAAAACTATAATCAGCGACAAACGACTAAGAAGGTAAGAAAACTAAGAACTCTATTGCATTTGTTATGATTGAATATAAAAAGCAGCCACAGATCAAACAATCTTCACTTAACTGCACATCATCTCGCTCCACGACATCATCTGTCGACCATAGAAAGCGCCAACACGCGTTGCATAGCATCATCTTCACTTTCCTCGTAGTCCTTAAACAATCCTAGTTACCAACACATTGGCGCCTTTACGAAAAATGAATCAGCCCCTGCATTTCGACAGCATTTTACCTAGCGTCCGTCTACTATCCTCTTTTTAATTTGCTATCGTTCTATACTTTGAGAAGACGCTTAGTGCCAACAACGATTATCATTTGAAAAAAAATGCACTTCGTTCTGTCTTACAATGCACACTACACTGTTTGAGTTTTAAAAACTTAATACGGCTACAGGCGATGCGCTTTTATGCTTAAAATCAATTTGATGTATGTTGGACGAATACTCACAACAAAAGTGTCATAAGTAAATGGGTGTCGTAGACGCAAATGACCATAGAAATCGTGAGTAGTTTTGTTCGGATTTCCCCAGGGCATGGAAACACAAACAGGACATACGACTCCTGCATTCTCCGACGAGTTCCTGTGATTCATTTCCACGTGACTTAACAGGCCTGACACGTCCAAGTTTGATTGTCCGCAGATCGGGCAGGTAAATGTACTGCGATTAGGAGCGGCAGATTTCGCTGTCCTGGTCAAAATAATTTGTTGTTAAGCAACCAGACCAACCTTGCAATGAAAGTATCATAATGTTACAACAAACAAATGGATCAAACTTGAACATAGTTTCAGAGCATTATTCCGTGGATAAGAAATATGGTTCCCATCACTTATGGGAAATTTTATTGCTCAACTTAATTACCAAAAAACCGCTGAAATGGGCTCGCTCGATTGTGATTCTCTAGTTAACTATTCCAGTCTTGAATCAGAACTCTGCACTGATATTCAAGAAAAACTAAGCAAACCGTTTTTTTAGTTTAATATTCCCATTTTTAGACCAATTTAAGGCTGTGTAGTGAATGCACATTCAATTAAAAATTTTACAATCAAGTGAACAAAATCATGGGATTATCGGCTTGATCTTCAATTAGGTTAATGACCTTGGCTTAAGCCCTGTGTATATGAATGCATTTACACTTATTCGGAACTTCTGAAAGAGGACTTCTGAAGAGTTTAAATTGAAAACTTACTGCGCTGAAGCCACTGCAACTTGTGATATAAAGTCTTTCAATTTTGAACACTT